AGCTGCATGCCTTTTATCAACTGAATGTGTACCCCCTCCCCACCACAGTGATTTAAAGCTATTCCCCTGTGGGGGAGGTATGAATATTTTCTAGAACTACAGTTATACCCTCATTGGACTGTTCCTTCCCTTGGAAATTCCAATCCCCCTTCATAGGGGAGGTATAGATATCTTTTGGAACTACACAATATACCCTCCTCAGACCCTCCCCACCCCTTGGAAATACCAGTCCCTCACAGTGGGGAAGTAAAGATATTTTGTAGAAAAGTACATATACCTTCCTCATGCCCTTCACACCCCTTGGAAATTCCAATCCCAAACAATGGGGAAGTTTAGATATTTTGTAGAACAGTTCAATATACCTTCTTCATACACTTCCCACCCCTCGGAAATTCCAATCCCCCTCATAGGAATAGACTCTGATGTCATTTCCTTCGATATCAGTAAAGAATGGCAGAAGAAATAAAGGTTGAGACAGCACCATTTGATGCACGGTTTCCCTACACCAACCAGACCAGGAACTGCTGGCAGAACTACGTGGACTTCCAGAAATGTTCAAAAAAGCTGGGAGAGGACAACGAAAACTGTCTTTACTTCAAGAAAGTCTTCACATCACTCTGTCCTAAAGCTTGGGTAAGAAATTGTTTGCAAATATTCACACCAGGTTAAACAAAGGTTTTCATTCTTATCAGAATTAAACATGGCACCATATGATAATGGTCTCTCAACTTCCAGAATTTTTTTCCATTTTTTAATTAATCATGCAACCTTTCCATATCACAGCTCAAATTGCCACATTTGTTAAGAATATTCCATGCAAGTTGCCAGCAGCGTTTTTTTATTACAGACCCAAAAATATTCATTTTCCTTTCACCCTACCCCCCCCCCCCCCCCCCCCCCCCCCCAAAGAAACATAACACAAAATTAAAGTTTATTCCTAACTTTGAATAATTCTTGTTTCTAAGGTGGAGAATTGGAATGAACAAGTAGAAAATGGCTCATTCGCTGGAAATGTTGATTAATAATCTCATTCTTTAGGGTATTTACAGTATTTTGTTAGATAAAGCTTACCAGCATGTAAAGAACCAGTGTATTTTAATTATCGTTGAGACAGTACACAAGTCAAAAACTTATCTTGTAAATGATTGTTGATGGTGCATAAGAAAAGAAAGTTGTGAGATTTAAAGGACTTTGGTGTTTTGTAAGGCCAGATTGATGCAATAAAATCATTTGAAATCGTAATGGATGACCTTGAGAGCAAACCCTTTTCAGTGGGAATGGGAAAATAGTATTGTGAATGGGAGATCATTACATTGCTTGCATTCAAAATAATTTCACCCATAGCTTTAATTATTTTTTTCTCTCGTAAGAGTACATTTGTTTGCTCTTTTTTGACAGAAGTTTATTAGTTGGTCGCAGCATCAAGCAAAATGGCAGCCACATATTTTTTTTATTTGAGTTCCATGGAAATGATTGCAAACTACCACATTTATTTTTGTTCTAGAGGTTTTTTCCTATCATTTTCATCATCGCCATCATCATTAACAATGTTGAAAAAATGTCATTAACAATATAATTTGAATTTAACGTAATTCGAAATCTCCGACATACCAATGCACTTCTAATTACATCTTCACTAATTCAAATAGTACCAATAATTATTAGATATATAATAATTCATTAACTGACAAGTGGACTCGTATTTGTTCGTCTCAGTATGGGCCTCTCCATATTTGGTCGTGCAATCATCGACATCTTAGTTGTCATTTTTCGTCGTCGATCTGTTCCCATTGGTCCTGCAACGATGGAAGTCCTCCGCCCATCCCTCATACCCCCCACAACACTCATCCTTCTACCTTGTCCTTCTGGAATCATTGATCTCCGGGAGCTTGTCCRCTTGAAGGGATAAAATCATTGTAGCAATCATCTTTGTCAATGATACTTAGATTTTCGTAAGAGTTTGATAAACTGTTCTGCGCATTGGGGTCAGGCCACATGCCACTTGGTGGCAGCGTCGTTGGGTCGTATCCCAGGCGATATGTCACCGAGTTTTGAATGCCGTACAATTCCATCAGTCTCTGAAACTCCGAYTTCGCATTCAGTCGCAGTCCTGATGAGGTGCTTCTTATTCGGGGCTTTGGAACCCCTCTCTTAGCTGATCCTAAAGAACTAACAACGCTGTTTGATTCTGAAGCCCTCTTTGCCTCGTTCTCATGAGACGTCTTGATTAACTCAGCGTCTGTTTCTTTATTCGATTGTGGACGAATCGTTACCCGTTTTACAGGTTCTACCTCGGCCATTGAATCCTGTAGGCTAGTATCACGGAGGCTTTGCATCACACGTGGAACAGTCAGAGTCTTATCTCCTTTCCTCTTCGACGAAGGTCTCTTTGGTGCTTCATGTCGAGGCTCTGGGGTCAAAGTAACCTCTTGTGTATTACCTTGTAGCTCTTCTTCACAAGCTCCTTTCCTCTTCGATGGAGGTATCTTTGCTGTTTCATGTCGAGGCTCTGGGGTCAAAGTAGCCTCTTGTGTATTACCTTGTAGCTCTTCTTCATGAGCTTCTGTTTTTGCAACAGCTTCGTCAAGATTCTTGCTACTCGATTCCTCTAATCTTGCAGCTAGTATTTGTTGTTGGGTTTTTATGAGTTCCGCGAGATTATGTAGTTCGTTCTGAACTGCCCATTCACAAGCATTCATGTAATAAAAAGGGTCTCTAATAGTCAAGCTTGCATCTCCTTCGACCATTAATACCTGCGCAGTTCGATCGTGGCCGTATCTGGTCGCTTCCAACATGGCCGTCATTCCTTTGTTATTCGTCTTATCCACGCCTAGACCAAACCGTTTCATGGAATTGATAAGAATGCTCGCAATATCTGCACGTCCTGTGATAGCTGCGTGTATCAGCGCCGTGTTCCCTTCTWGATCTTCAGCGTTAAAGTCTAGATCGATAATCGAGATCTTTAGAATTCTTTCTACAATTTCTTGAAGTCCAAGAATAGTAGCCAACATTAGAGCTGTTTTTCCGTTCTTGTCAGCTATGTTGACCTTCGCGCCGTGGTCCAAAAGTAGACGAACTATCTTGTACCTCGTGTGACGCATTTTATCATCTAGGAGTATAGCCTTCATTAGTGGAGTTTGGCCGCTTTTATCCGTTGCGTTGACATTCACCGAGTCGGTTTCCAGTAAGAACTTGACTTGGTATAAACGACCACGAATAACCGCGTCTAGAAGCATATCCGAATCTCTTACACTGGTATTCTAACTTGTCTAAGACTCAATCTTCAAAAAAAAGTCACAGCACTTAAAAAAAAAACAGTATTTCTTAACCATGTGTCGTAGCAAAACGTCCCCTAATGTACTTATTCATAGCTACTTAAGTGATCTGAATTCAGGCTTATTCCATTTAATTGTTTTTTTTCATAGAGAATGATAAGCGTTAATCATCCAATAAGCTACGAGAAAAACTGTTAGATGATTGTATAGTCTTTTACTGATTAGTTTTATCCGTTTCCAAGGCAACAATTAACAGAGTTTTGCTCGAAATTTTGACCAAAAGCGTCTAAGACATACTGTTTCAAACAAGGAGTTGTTTGAGTTGGTTTAAAGTAATGATGTCTTGAGAAGAACAAACTAAAACCTCGTCTCGAATCGTGTAAAAAGGTCAATATTTGTAAAAAGTCGTTAAAGTTGACAAAATCAGCCATGCAGATCAACTGGTGTGTAGGAACAAAGAGTGTAAATCTTGTAACAATAGCTCTTGAGCAGTCAGTGTTGAATTTATGGTAATCTTGATATAGTTTTAATGCCGTAAAGTGTGATGTACTGAAAATACAAAATTTAAAATTACTCCTTTTCTTCTTCTTCTTCTTCTTCTTCTTCTTCTTCTTCTTCTTCTTCTTCTTCCTTCCTTCATCATCATATTTTTCTAAAATTTTCTCATTAACCCCGTGGTCCATAATTGCCCAAGTACATCCCATAAGGCACCTGATTGTACATAACGTCCCAGACCTGCCCTAGACTGGCCCAACATAAACCAMAATCATGAATAAAACATTCACTATAATCCCTTTATTGATAATTACGGGCGTCTGCACATAACTGTATGCTGATACCCTGTTTCTAATGGTTACGAGAAAGATGCCTTAACTTGAAGGTCAAATACAAATACAACCAAAAACAAACTGAAATATAAGAATCTGTAGCATTAGCGATGAGCTCGTTGCCACGGTTTGTTCACAAACCTCGGAGATTCCCACGACAAGCATGGAATTTAAAACCAACGAAGATGAAAATGAAGAAAAAAATGGCGTACATTGGGGAAGACCAAAAATTCTTTTAGATGCAGTGTCAAAGGGAAGATTAAGACAACTTCGTCTTCTACTGGAWGCAGGGATTAACGTCAACTGCAAAGACATAAAGAGTGGACACACTGCATTGATACGCGCTACCTTACTGGATAACACAAAGCTTCGTAGAATTAACACTAAACTTTTGATCAGCTACGGTGCGAAAGTTAAGATAGCTGACCATTTAGGAAGAACAGCGCTTTCTTGGGCTTGCTTACTTGGAAGAGAAAATTCGTTGAAAATATTTCAGAGTAATCCAGAGCTTGACCTTGCGTATGACAGCGTTGATAAGGAAGGCAATACAAACCTTTTGCTTGCTTGCATGTCCGGTAATGCTAATGTAGTTACGAATATTGCACAGGTATTTCTTAGGAATCGTCTGGATGTTAATCGGAAAAATTCCCAAGGAGATAACCCTCTTTCGTACGTCTTGAAACAAGGTGATCATCACTTGGCTGACATCCTACTAGACGTGGCTCACGCGACGCGATGTGTGAATCCTTCAACATTGCGAGATATTTTGAGCGCAAAACGACATGGAAAACATGGTGGACGTTCTGCAGGTTATGCCAGACCTAGCACGTCTCAAAAAGTGCCTTGTAATTTACCTAAACTTTTTAATCTTTATACGGAACAGCTAACACAGTCGTACCCAAGGACAGTGAAGTCTGGGTCGTCTGTGTGTCACAAGAACCTGCCGCACTTGGAAACTCCAAGAGTAGAWACTAAAAAAAGATATTTATTGACGGTTTGATTTGAGCGCATAATATAATTCGTCGAGGTAGAAAAATTCCCGCGAAATTACATGCAAAATATTTGGTCTTGGAATGACATGATTTTACAGCATGTGCTCGTTGCGACTTGCATGCATTTGCATTGAAGTGGCTTCCCATTGAGGGGTTTACGTCTTTTTACGAGTGGGAAACTTCACGGCATTGCCGACTCTACGGGAAACCATTTCAGCGTTATGGCATGTTGTACCGTTTACGTGCTGTAAGTAAGTATCATTAGAACTATATGTCATGGTCTTACAAGTCGTGACATTGAAATGGCTTCCTATTGAGCGCCTTTCATCCCAGGACATTGAAATGGTTACCCTTTGAGCGGGTATTTCTTATAAGTAGGCTCTCGCTTTTTTTGACTTTTAGAGGAAGCCAATTTCAGTGCATGATGCTGAAAAATAGGGAAGCAATGATTTCAATGTTACGAGATGTAGTACCGTTATGCGCGCTGCAAAAGCTTAAAACCGCTAATTACCCACTTAAAATAGAAAAACATTTCAAAGGAATGCCCGCATAAGAGAAACGAGACATGAATCTTAAGTACTAGTCTTGGAGATTTGTCAACAGAGAATGATTTAACTAATGTCAGTCAATATTTGTGGCATGATATACAATTACACATGAATATTCATGTCCAATGACAGGTGTTCATTAGGTAAAATCAATCAAAAGAATCGCAGTGTAAACATTTGGGACAAATCTTTTAAGTAAGGATTATGTTTTACATGTAGAAGAAGATTTAGTCCATCACGTACGCAAAAGCCAAGCAAGGATTCAGTGATTTTACTGATCTTGACACRGGGAGCCCAAGCTCAACTAACTGTTGCTTAATTTAAACGACGCTGATGACTTGGTTTTCTTCAGTTTTCTCAGGTTTCCAGGAATAGGTGGTAACTTAGCAACCTGCATGCTCGCTGCTCGGTTCGAGCGTGCATACTTCAACCTAATCTGTTTATCGAGTGCTGACTCATTCACCGAGGGAAGACTCCCAGAATTCGAAGACACTGAGCCTCGTTTTGGGAAAAGAAGTCCCTTCACCTCGTTCCCATGTTGTTGGCTGGTCCGATTCGGCCTTGCTTTGGATTCCTTACGTGTTGGGAGCGGGGGGGTTGGTGTTCTGTATCTCCTAATAGGTTGTCCTTCTCTGTATGAGTCCGTTAATTGCTCCTTGTAAATGTCGTACAGTTGTAAGAATTTGTGATCTTCTGATGTCATGTCCGTTGCTATAGAAACTTGAGATTGAGAGCAAGAATCGCTGCCTGGCAAAGATCTAGATCCGTCCGTGTCAAGAGAGCCCGATGAACTATATCTTGAGTTCAATCCACCAGTTATTTTTCTAGGACTAAGGTTTTGAAGAGCGTCTGATGTATTTTTAGTTCTGTTAAGTTTTGTTCCACTTATTGTCTTGTTGTTTGGATGCCTTGATGACGACGTGTCATCGTTTGCAAACAGAAATCTAAGAAGGTCTTTCTTTGTTGGCACATTAGGATTACTATCTAGCAAATTAACCCTAAGGTCATGACTTTTCGCCGAAAAAAGATAAAAAGGATGAGAATGTACGCAGTCAGTACTATCATCAGCTAGTTCTTTGAGGTACTTGATCACACTTGAAACTGGAGCATCTCCTTCGGTTATCAAAAGGCGAGCACAACTCTTGTCTCCTCTATGAAACGCTGCTAACWATGGACAAATACCTGCGTTGTTAGTTTTATGAATTTCATCCAAACTACAAGTCTTTCGAAGCTCTTTTAAAACTAGTTTCGCCGTTTCTAGATCCCCTGAAATAACAGCAAGATAAAGAGGACTGTTGCCATCGTTGTCGATAGTATTGAARTCCAACTCCACAGAGGAATCTCTCAACATGAAACGAAGAATATCCACGCGTCCAAACACACATGCCCATGACACAAATCCACGGCCAAATCTATCCCTCTTATTTGGATCAACCCCGTCTGCCACAAGAAGTTTTAGCATTGTCATTCGAGTCTTTTCTTCTTCCAAGAAGCAGCAGTGCATAAGAGCAGTTTGTCCATTTTCGTCGGTTAAGTTGACATTCACTCCAGCTTTCAAAAGCRGCTTTACCTGATGTGGTCTACCATCCCTCAACGCTTTTATCAGTAACACCATTTGTGCTTTAACGATATAAATAAACTAGCTCAATTCCAGCAAGAAAAATAGGCTTATTACTGTACGCAATTCTAAACACTCATTGTACAAATGTACGAATGTTAGCAGCTGATTCTGAATCAAAGTCAAGCAGGTTCACGCAGCTTTACGTGTTTCGTGTGTTAATGRAGTTGTGTACGGCGTTGTTTAGAGTTCTTATTAGCTATTAACTTCTGCTACTTAGACAATAACCGGTTGTTCCGGTGGACAATAACTTTGATTGACAGCCGCTCTTTAATTAAACAGCCTTGTTTAAACTGTTGGTAAATATAATTTTACAGCCGGCTTTAAATGACTGAAAACCGTTTATCAGATACACGCAAGTTCATTTGAAGCGACCACGCAGAAGCTGAATAAATTTTTGAAAAATATTCTGAAAAATAAGTGAACATGAAAGTCTTATCGTATCTACGCAGCTCAAGAGCTAGGAAAGATGAAAATTAGCATAAATTAAAGCAGCAGTGGGGTGGGGTAGGAGGAGCAACGGGCTGGTCGTCAAGGATTGCGATGTAATAAGACCAACTGAAACGATCACACCTCGCAACAAATAAACTGCGACAAAGGCCATTTCTTTTCGAATCTATTTTTGTATTGAAATCTGTGTGAAACCGGTAAAAATAACCGTAATCAACCCGACGGCTGACATTTGACGTGGCTATTTTGGTATTCATCGATTAACTTCTTAAGTAATCCCGCGAATTAATACCTCACTAAATCGATAATGAATCTCAGTGATCAATTAATTAATGACTAAATATACTTACAGCACTGTAATAATATAAATCAGGGTCGTGACGAGGGACGTGGGATTAGGGATCCTATGCTACGACTCAGGGATCGCAGAATAGGGATCCGGATCGTATGAGATAAATTCAGGGATCAAGGGATTATCTATTGGATTAGGGGATCAAAATACGTGTGTTTTTGGGATCATGGATCAAGATTGTATGTACAAATTTGGGATCAATCACAAAACAAACATCCCTCGTCACGATCCTGGTCCAATCACTGGAAGTGATCTTTGCTTCAAAGGTCCTTTCGCTGCATGTGATCTTAGCTTCAAAGGTCTTTTTTTTCTTTCACTAGATAAATTACGTTCAAGGATACTCTTAAATATGGCCCATTTGAAAAAAGGATACTCTTAAATATGGTCAAAGATACTCTTAAATACGGTCATTTGAAAAAAGGATACTTAAATAACTTAAATACTGGATGTGATCTTAGCTTCAAAGGTCCTTTCACTGGATGTGATCTTAGCTTCAAAGGTCCTTTCACTGGATGTGATCTTAGCTTCA